GGTTAAATTTTACTGGTAACAGAGTGGTCTTAATTTTGATTCTGACCTTTAACTACCTCATATAAGCAATAGTTTAAAAAATATTTAACACATAAAAGCAGTAGAATGTTGAAGATTATTTCTAATTACATTAAAGATAATGTTAAAAAATTAGTAATTTTATTTGAGAGCACCATCGAGGTAAGGATTTAATGTTGAGGTTTTCTATTACTTTTTTCAACTATATAACTTTTATGAACAAATTTAAAACTTCGAAATAATTCAAAAAACAGGTTCTTTTTTTTTAAATAAAATTTATAAACAAGAATTTATTTATCAATCATATTGTTTTAGCACCAAGGATGGTAGAATGAAAGATAGTTTTTCATGTTTTTCACATATTTCGGATGTTTTTATTTCAGTGTGCAGATTCCGGTGATTGTTTTGTTAGATTCAAGCGACTTATAGTACACTACTCCCTGCGGGTCTCACTAAATACAGAGGTTAAGCTTAGATCCATAAACAGTAAGCTTTACTTTTGCCGATAATAGTTTGACAATTATTAAGAGGTGCAAAAGGCGTTTATGCCGTTTTAACAGTGATTTGCACGTGAACAAATCATTTGCTGTTTTAATTGATATGGCAATTTCCATGCTTTTGAATCATTTCCAAGTTACTTAAATGTTTGAGAATCTTTTATGCAATCCTTTTTCTTGTTTAATTCTTTTTTCTTTGACTATATTCTACAAAGACGATATTCTACGAAATATTTTGATATGTTGTTATTATCAAGATTTCTCCTAAGGGGCCATCCTTAAAGGACGTCACCATTTTTTAGCCAATTTTTGACCTCTTCCCCCCCCCCCCCCTTTGTCACCGGTTGTCTTTTTTCCCTATACCCCCTGGAAAAGGACGTAATAAAATCCTGACCCCCCTCCTTATTTTTAACTCCGAAAAAATTTATTTCATCTTGCAATGAAGTTTGAATCTGCTGCTACACCTTTGAAAAATAAAATGAAAAATATTCTCATCCATTATCTTCTCAAAAACACATGTTTACGTAGTTTTCCATGTTAATTAAACTAAAATAAAAAATCTATAAAGTGACGTCCTTTTCTGACAACCTCCCCCCCTCCCCTTGAACCTCTTGGTTCTGGGCCAGAATTCTAACCCCTGCGTCACGTTGTTAAAACTAAATTATTACCATGTAATTTTTCAATATATTGAGATTTTAATCGACTAAATTTTCAAAATACTGTATTTTTGACTTAATGATAGTGAAACGACTGTATTTTTAACTGACTGATTTTTCAATCGACTTAATAACTACGTCTATTCTGCTATGTATTTTCTACTTATTTTGTTAGTTGTATCAGAGCCAATATTTAAACTTTTGTCTAAACATAAATAAATTAAGACTTTTCTTTTAATTAAAATTTTTGTCCAAACCAAAAACGGTAATGTTTCAATTGAACTAAAACAAGAAGTATAGTTTTGTCTCGTAAAAACCGATACAAAACAAAACAAGTTTACTTTTATTTCGTAAAATACAGTACAAAGCTAAATAAATTTTTATTTTTTTGTAAAAATACTGTACGAAAATGAATTTTGTTTTGTTTTGTAAAAACGGTACAAAACGCAGCCATGTAGCGCACCAGGTTAAATTAGTTGATGGGTCTTACCGTATCAATCCGAACTTCGGAGACCGTACGTGGATTCACCAGAGTTGACGCATGTGTTAAGTTTGTTATTAAAGTTATTGTTGTTAAAAATGTTAAAAAAAGATCATTAAAAGAAGAATAATTAGAAAATAAAAAAACGTCTAAGGGATCATCCATAAAGGATGTCACTTTAAGTTTAACTAATGACAAAAAGTAGGAGAAAGTTGGCTCTTGTGCGCAGAGATTTTAAGAGTAATATAGCGCCTTATGTTCAATGAAAATCTCCGCGGAAGAGAACCAATAAACTTCTACTTCTGGTTAGTAATTAAATTCTGAATGACGTTCTTTATGGACGACCCCTAAGAAGTAATTTTGTTAACTACCGCGAGTCATGAACTAATAAACGATAAATAATAAACAATTATTACAACAACAAAAAAACGTTTATAGTTTTGTACAACTATTTATATGCTCTTTTAACTAAGTTTACAAACTACCGTGAATTATCGTTAAGATTTATTGTAAAATATAATTTAAAATATTGTTTATTATAACATCATCTTGTATGATTTTCTAAATAAAATGTAAAAAAACTTACATCGACGCTGAATAAAAAATTTAATCATAAACGTAAAAAAAAAAAAAATAGATTGATGCTTACGCGCAAAAATTATTTTTGAACGTATTGAGAAAAAACAAGAATTTTTATGATAGGTATAAATGATGCATTTAATGTTACTTTAACTTTACTCGGAATATAAAAAAAGCTTCTATACTGTCGAGTATACTACAGTAAAATCAAAACTCTTTCTCATATCCATCTAATATACGTGCAAAAAATATTGTTTAAGACCTTAATTAAAAACTTTCACGATATCTATTAAATAAACATAATTCTACGTACAGACAACTATTTAAATATTTGTTTAATAATTGATATTAAAAACTCTAAATCTTATTAAAATAACATGTCAAACTTTACAAATTCTACAAGAAAAATGTTTTAACCGCAAAAAACTATTTCCGTCAATTATCAGTTCGATGTTTTTTTTTTTTTTTTAATAATTTAATGAAATAAGTTATGGTAATAAAAAGTTATCAGGAAGCATCCCGCGTGTAATAAATACACAATGAAGGAAGCACATATAAATAGTGTAGTTTATAGTGCGTAGTTTAATTTATAACCAGTTTGTTCAAACAAAGGAGATTACTTCCAGCATTACAAAAAAAAAAGAAGTTGTTTGTTGCTTTTTTTTAATTTTTATTTTGAAGGTTCTATGCTCAGAAGATTTCTGTTTTTACTTCGTTGCTAACGAACGTGATACTATCAAAATTATATAAACATTCATAGATTTTTGGATAGCAGATTATTTTTTTAAAAGCTAGAAACTCTTTTGTTCTGGTTAAACAAACATAAGCCGCTAAGTAGATGAACTGTAGTTTTCCGAAAAAAGTTACCATACCTTAAGAGATCGCTAAATAATGACCGTTAAGAATTCAGCAAACAACGCTATACCGACAGGAGATGTCGTAAGTAACATCAACAAGTTATTGGTGGTTTTTTGTTTATTTTTTTTCAGTTTACTTTTTTATTACTTAGTCGTTGAAACAACTAAAGTTTAATGTAAGTCGAATAGTATTTTTTATCTTGCAATTCGGGTCGATAATCTCAAACTTTTTATTGACGACATCCTAAAATTATTTAAAACTTTTTTAAAATTAGTTTTAAAAGTTTAAGTTTATTATTTTAAGCAAAAAAAAAAAAAAAAATACATAATTTTTACAAAGTTATATAAATCTATATAGGAGTTTTATTGTAAGCGTTTATTCAAATTAATGACAATCTTGCGCAACTGAAATAAAAAATACGAAAATTGTTATATCAACGTCATTTATTATTTGCATAATGTTTGATAAAATCGCTACAATTAACGTAAAAATATACGCGATATAATTCGGCGCGCATAAATAGAGGACACGTTAGGTTAAAAAAAAAAGTAATTTAACATTTACCTTTTTTTAATATATTCTTGTTGTGATTGATGTAAGAGAAAAAATTATAAACTAAAACTCATGAAATTTCAAATTTGAGAAAATGGACCTAAAGTTTATTGTTTTCAATAAATGCAAATTATCTGTATTTAATCGATCAATTGCAACAAAAAAGTATTTTTATACTTTTTTTTTTTGCTTATCAATGCAATACTTAGAGAGGTAATTTTATGGTATCCGGACTCCCCATATTTTTCTCTTTTGTAAAATATCGAAGTAAAATAAGTAATATAAAACTTTTGTAAATAGACTTTTAGTCACGAAAGGGGTTTAGGCACTTCTATACAATTAGACAACTTTTTTCTTAAAATACATTAACTACAAATATATTTAATATAAATTACAAATAAAGGTTGAATGAAGACAAAATAATATAATTTTTTTTTTGATCCTAATAAAAAAGTTGGTTTTGGTCTCAAAAAGGGGCTAAACCGCTTACACGATTATTTATCATAGGGTGATTTTAAAAGTTAAACTTTAAAGTTTGCCTAGTTGTTTTATAACAATATAAACTACAATCTGTGCCACTTTTACGTTTAAACTATCGAAACTTGCAAAAATATAGTCATTTTCATAAGAATTGGTAAACTTCACAGTTTAACTCGCCTATTCAAAATTTCAAATATACAAATCTGAATTCCTCATTAAAGAGTAAGAGTCTCACTTACTCTTCATTGAGGGTCATTTTGAAGCTATATTAGTAACGAACATTTGTGAAAAATTTCAAGATGTTTTATAAAGTTGAGTAAAAATATTATGTAAACGGTATAACCAAAACAAAAAAACATGTTCTATGAAAAAAAAAAAAAACAAAATCAATGGGATCCAGAATTATAGGGTTGGCATCCTGTAATGTATTTTTTTTTTAAACTCTTTTCTGAGATCTCTTTACTCTTCTTTGTGTTTTTAAAATATCAAATTTACAATGAATTAAAGCTCTATTATGGCCACTTTTTAATGCATTTTTTTCAAAAAAACTTTCACGTGGAATATTCAAACAATCAAAAACATTTTCAATTCAATTAATACCATCATTGAAATTAACGATGGCAGAACACACACCAATTGTAAGTACTTTTCTGATACAATAAGTAGATTTGGGACAGCGTGTCCAAACAGTTCCATTTAAACACTCATTCACATTTTGTGTTTGGTCATGGAGACATTTTTCTAGCGTAAGTATTAACTTAATTTCTGAATATTTTTTTTTTTTCAGTTATTCTAAGCGCATAAAGAATATTTGAAAATAAATTGGGATGGTATTGCACGAGAAATAACTTGCAATAGATGTGTTATAATGCCATAACACGGTTACTAAGGGTGTTGCTAAGATTGAAAATCTATACCAAAATATAAATAAAAAAAAGATAAATTGAAATAACCTCAATACACGGATTTATAGTCTCAGTTCGGTTCCGCAAATTATTTCAAAATTGTTGAGAAAAGTAAACATTTCTAGAATTAGAGAAAATTTGAGAAAAAATTTGAAAAGCAGAATCTGACATATTGATATTACTTTGATATAAAATCTTTAATATAAAAATTTTTTTAACGCTAAATATCTTTCCTAGCCAAATTTGTCACTAACTTAAGTTCGAAATATTTATCTTACTAAACGATTTTGTGATAATTTACGGAACGGAACTGAGACTATAAACCCGTGTATTTTTTTTTGTTTTGTTTTTAAAATTTAAGATTCTGTGATAAATTTTGATCTTGAAGCAATCCTAATTAAAAAAATTAAAATTTTAAGATTTTTTAATTGTTTAGAAGTACCTTAATTAAGGTACTCTCCTAAACCTCTCCTAATTACCCCAGAAACCTCTCCTAATTACCCCAGTACTCTCCAAAACTTCTCCTAATTTCCCCAGAAACCATCCTCACTTAAGTGAGGATGGTTTCTGGGGTAATTAGGAGAGGTTTTGTCAAATATTTTCTCTTAAAAAAATACAGTATGGGCCTTTCGTATAATGTATGAAAGTTGTCTCAGGTTATTATTTTAAAGTTAATACTTTTTGGTTTTCAAAACGTGAAAGAAAATTGTTTAACAACTGACATTTACTAATGATATAAAACAAGTGGAAAATTCAAGTGACGTCAGAGCTTGTGCTTTTTATGCACCTGTCTTAACTAAATCCCACTATCAATTAATGTACATTTAATATCGCTCACCCTAAATGTAAGTTGGTGCTTTTACGCTTAATTATATACAATATATTCAGAGGCAATTTTAAAAATAAAAGGTTGGGGCGGTGATTCCTTAAAAAGTACCGACTGGTTCCTTAAAAAGAAAAAAAAAGAAAAAAAAAAAGTCAATTTACCCGACTGAATTGTGTCAAGCACCTGACTAGCCGACTAAGTTCGTAAAAAACCGACTATAACTTAAAAATCACCTTCTTTGGGGGTGTTTCCCTCTCCCCCCCCCATTCCGTAAAATTGTCTCTGAATATATTATTATGCAAGTTTACTTATCATTAAATTATTTAAATATTTTTCTTCTCTACCCAGTAGGTAATTATGTTATTGAACACTCTTAATCTGATATTATTACGCGTAAATGCGTATTTAATACAAGATGTATCGGGTTAAAAGCTACGTTTAAGTTTATATATTTAGATAAACAAAAGATTTTGAATTTGTTTGGTTGTGGTTTACATTTTCTTTATTACTGAAAATTATTATTTGTAATCACCCGCGCATTTAAACTTAACTTTGTAATCACGTGCGCATTATTGAACTTGAAGAAAGAATTGTGAAAAGTGACTAAAACGTCATAATAATAACTCAATTAATAAATAACACTTGTTGCATAAATAATAAAAAACTTATTTATTTTTATTATAAAAATATTATAAACTTTTTTACAAAATACTCAAATCTCAATCTTATCGGTGTTAAAAAATAAAAAATGTTCTATTCGGCTTCCACTTTAACTTTAATTGACTTGTATACGGATTATTCAATAGTGTCACTTGTGAAAAACGAAAGATTTATTATAGATAAATGTAAACATGCTCTTTTATTTGTCGTTAAAATTAATATTTGGTCTCATTGATGGCTCCATCTGTATTGACAAGATGTTTTATTTTAAATAAAGTATTTGCCAATAACGGTAAATAATGGCTTCATGTTGATAAAAATTACAAGTGATGGCCTAATGTCAATTACGTTATAAAAAACTGACGTAACGATTTCAGCGTTATGTCAGTTTTTAATTTATAACGTTATTTTCAGCAAACGGGTTTATAGTTACCTCTAAAATATAATATAATTGAAAGCGCATTGAAAATTATAGTTTTTTTAATCATAATATGAGTTAATAATATTTGCTCGGTGTTTTATAAGTGTCTTGCCACATTTCCGAAATGCAACTGTAATTAGACTAATAAATAAGAAGCCATTGTTAAATTAGTATATATATATACATATACATATATATATATATATATATATATATATATATATATATATATATATATATATATATATATATATATATATATATATATATATATATATATATATATAAAATTTAATCTTTACTTTACAATGATTTTAATGTTATAAAACTGTTTTATGGTATCTTAACAGGTACCAATATTCCTAACTAATTTTTTTAGATAACCTCACTGAGCTCTTCTTTACCATCGATATTATCTGGAGAATTCAAAAATTATCCTATTCATACTATTGACTACAATAATAATAATAACAAAAATAACAATCGCGATACAATCGAGATCAAGCGCTTTTTGAGCAATCCTAATTTGAGTGATAGGAAGCTAATAGGCAATGAAATAATAAAGCGATGGTCTGGTTTTTTTCACTTGTCAGAACCTTATACAGAGTGCGATAAAACTAAAACTTTGAAACAGAACAATAGTGAAATCCTTTCACATTCTGTAAATAAACCAATTTTACTTACTGCCAATAATGGGCAAGAAAGAGAAGAATCTTGGAGCAAGTATTTTGAGGGAAAAAAAAGTGTTAAAAATAAGGCTTGTAGTTTTACTAGTATAGTTGATTATAACGAAGACGAAAGAGCTCATTCTCAGGAGTCGTCAAATTTATTTTACCAAGAAAGTCAAACTAATTTAAACTCATTTAAAAGTGCACGCCAAGTAAGCAATGATACTCTAGATAAGTTTCAAAACACTGAAACTTATAGAACTAACTCATACCCATCTATCTATCATCAACCACAATATGTACTCAGTAAAGAAGAAATTAGTAAAAACATCTCATATGATGATTTTACTGTATCAAGTGGTAAAATAGCGCATTTTGGTACCGAGGGAACAAAGTCGAAAGAAGATACTAATCAATTAAGTCATAAAAGGGATATAGAATGCTATAACAACATGAGGGATGAAGTAAATGAGGTAGGTGATAAAATACCATGTTACGAAAAAAAGTTATCTTTCGAAAATTCAATGATTAGCATTTCTGAAGATTTTTTAAATCATAAAAAAAACGAAAAACAAAGCTCTCAAATAAAAACAAGACGCTATGCTCGATCAATGTCTACATGTCTTCCCTCTCCTAACAACGCTTTAGGATCATTTTTGAAAGATGTCGAATCTAAAACTCTAGAAAAAAAGAAAATAACAACTAAGGTTTCTCAGAAAAAAAGAACTAAAAGTTTAGATAATTCAGTTCAATTAAATAATAATTTTGATGTAAAAGAGCGTATTCAAAAACCGCATCAGTTTCTTAGTGTAAAAGCGTGTGAAATCAATATAGAATCGCATAAAAATTTACACATTGACAATAACAAGGTTCGCAACAATACTGAATCCCAAGAAACAGGTAATTTCGTAAACTTGAAAGCGTTTTTTATTTATTTAATGTTGAATGCTTTATGTCTTCCTGAAAATATACGTTAGTTTTTATTAGCATTTTTTTATTTGCAAAATTTTTTAATGAAGAATTATGAACAACTCTCTTAGTTGAAATAACTTTTGCCTCAGTTATTCATTCTTAGGTAAAAACAATGGCTTGCTAGAATCGATTGTTAGATTAATTACATTTGAAGGTGAAAGTGAAGTTGATCGATTTTTTTTGTTTGTTTTCTTTTTATATAGGGACCGATAAATCTGGAAAAGGAAATAACACGACTATGGGAAAAGGTTACGGCTTTGCTCAAAGTATTTCGCCCGGTTCATATTTCAATCATGATAAAAATTTTAAGCCTCTAAGCCAAGCGTTATCTAATTCAAACGATTCAAATATACAAGATTTAGATATTAATTCAATAGAACGAGTTAGTATTATTGAAAGTAAAAAAACATCTTTAGACAGAAAAATCTCTTCAGATAACAATCAAAGTAATTCTATTCAGGAATTTAGTAAAAGCTTTGATGTTGATCATAATACTGCACAACATTTAAGTTTTTTAAATCAAGGCGACTTCGATTCTAAACAATACGATGAAGTTAGGAAAAAGCGAATAAGTTTAACAAATAATACAGCTGCTTTTAGTGAACCATTTGTACCAAAATCGGCATATTTAAGAAAAAGATTAGAGGAAATAACACAAAAAAATTTTTATAAGAGTTTTACTACAAGCATTGATACAGAATGCGATACATTAATGCACAAAGATAATAATGTCAACGAAGGCTTAAGAGAGCATTTAGTTTCAAACTCCAGTAATAATTTGTTTTCGCAATATTTGTTTAAGAACTCAGAAATACAAAATCAAGAACTTAGTGACTTGCGTAATACTTTTCCTCAAAATACCAATAGTAATGAAGATGCAAAGAATGTAGAGTTTAAATCAAACACAATAAAACCAAATATAAATTCAGAGACAGAAACTGGTAGAAATTTTAAAGAGAAATATAAAGTAGATGAGTCTAAAATGGCTGAACCTTTAATGCTATCTATTGAAAAGTACAAAAAAAAAAGTAGTTTATTATCATATAAAGATATAAATCTTTCAACCTCTAAATGTAATGAAAGTAATAAAATTACACATGGAATTGATAATGTTTCATTTTGTGATGGAAATATCGTAGATGAAAAAGACAATGTTTCTAAACCTCCATTGACTATCTTCGGAGCAATAACTAAAATAACATCAACAAAAATATCAAAAGCTGATGAAATAGTTAAATCTTTTTCAGATAAAAATAAACAGTCCCAAAATAAAAATGGTAAGTCACAAGTTATTAACACCTATCTAAAGCATTTATTTTAATTCTGGTAAAAGTAGCAGTAGTTGAAAAAGTAGTATTAGTTGTTGCAGTAGTATTAGTAGTAGTCAGCAGACATTTTCAAAAAAAGTTTTTTTTTAGCACTAACCTAGTATATGTATATATATATATATATATATATATATATATATATATATATATATATATATATATATTTATATATATATATATATATATATAATACTACTTTAACTAATACTACTTTTTCAACTACTGCTACTTTTTCCAAAATTATATAAACACACACACACACACATTATATTGCGGATTTGGATTGGCACTGTCTTGATATATTTTACACACTTTAGGTTTTAAAATGCTGTCTTAAATTCAGACAATTTGTTTAAACATCTTTACCAATCAAACATGCTTTTCTAAATTTAGTAATGATTGCTTTTCAATTCTATATGAAGCTATTATATAAGGGACCTTAAATTTAAGGAAATTTTTTACACACAGTGGCAAAAGCCAAATATAAACAAAAAAGTCAAAATTGTCAGAGTGACGCTGACAGTATAAACATCATAAATCTTTTTTCTTTGTTTTCTTTATATTATTTGCTTTTACTATTGTTTTACTGGAAATTTGTTAAATTTTAATGGCTTTTTTAACATTAAATTTTTTTTTTTTATGTTTATTTAAGAATAGTCGGTATAATAAAGATTTTTTTTTTAAATTGTATTAAGCACAGTAAATTTTGTATTTTTTAAATAATGATGACTAGTATATAGTCAAAACATGTATTTTTTAAAATGAAAAAGTTTGTCTTGTTATTTAATATATATATATATATATATATATATATATATATATATATATATATATATATATATATATATATATATATATATATATATATATATATATTCTTATCATTTTGTTATTGTTATTATTACCATTGTAATTATTGCTATTATTATTGTTATTATTATTATTATTATTATTATTATTATTATTATTATTATTATTATTAATAATAATAATGTTATTATTAAAATTATTATTAGTAATAGATTTTAATCTGAATGTTTATTGAGTTCAAGAATACAAAAGTTGATAATTGTTAATGCCTCAGATTATGATTTTATCAATACATCATAATATAACTGTCCTAGAGTTATTATTTTTAAAAATTATTGTTAATCTATTTAATGTTTTTAACTAATCATATTAATGAAAATGTAATTAGTTCCGCATTATATATTATTCAAAGCTTTATTCAAGCTTTATTCAAAGTTGTAGAATAATCGAAATGCATAACATTAAAGTATAAAGTATATATATGTATATATATATATATATATATATATATATATATATATATATATATATATATATATATATATATATATATATATATATATATATATATATCTACTATAGCATATTTATATGCACATTTGGTCACTTTTTTTGCTCATCTAAATTAATATGGGTTTTTTAGAAAAAGAAGAAAACAAAGAATAATGAATGAAAAGGTTGCTGTCCCATTCCAAAACCCTTAGGCTATGTAGCAGCGCTCCACTGCGAGTCAGGCTATTTGTCAGTCGTACTGTTCATTTTTCATGTATGTACTGAAGCCCCCAGTAGCAGGCTATTTCAGTATGATGTCACACTGCTCACCTAACTCAGCAGTATAAGATCCTGGAAAAAATTAAAAACTTCTTGAAAAAAGAATTGTTGCCCAAACCAAAACCCTCAGTCCATATAGCAGCACTCATTGCATTATCTATCTTTTTGTCTGTCAATATTAATAAACAGTAAAAAAATAAAAATAAAAACATTCATAATATTCTCATTTCTATTTAAAAAGTAGAGACATTCTAGTCTATAAAATTGCATTTTTGTGATTTTTTAAAAAATGATAAAATTTCATTAGTTTTATCTAACTAATTAAATTTTAATTAAAATTTTTACATAAAACTTGGTTTTGTCACTTTTAAAGACAAAGATTCATTAAGTTTTTTACCATAAACAGTAAATTTAGATTACAAATTATAGGAATATATACACAAGATAAATACAGCTTATGAAATTAGGAAAGATAAAGTCGGCAAAAAATTGCTGACCTAAAACTGTTTTAGTTCGACATTAGGTTAGCAGAAAACTTAGATTAAGGGTTTGGCAAATTGATAAATGTGGGAGCGTTTGGACTAAAATTAACAGAAAATCAAAGCTTCAAATGTTGGCGCTTTATAAAAAATTGGAAAAAGAAATCAGCATTTTACTATTTTATTAGTAATTTAAATAAAGCATTAAATTTGCAGTTTTTATTTCAATTATTTTAATAAGAATTTAGGTAAAATGTTATTTTTATTGTTGTTTTTTTGTTATATTTTATTTAGGAGTTAAATGTTACTTTAGAAGTTTTATTTAGTAGTTAATTATTAAAATATTTATTTTTGTTTGTTTACATTTTAATTATTATTTTTTAAATTTTATTAAAACTTTATTTTTTATTTTAATTGAAAATTTAAATAAATGGTGTGTTTTATATATATATATATATATATATATATATATATATATATATATATATATATATATATATATATATATATATATATATATATATATATATATATATATA